TGACTGAGATGTGCTACCCGCAGTGACAACGAGCTTCCAGCGAGACCCAACGACGATCGACGACACGCAGAAGCACGCCCGACGCGAGCAGCCCGCGACCCAACTTGGTAGCGACTAGCAGCTTCTCGCGACGTGACGTGCAGCAACCTGGCTTGGCTGGAAGACCTCCTCGGTGTTTGACGAGCGACACGATGAGACAGACAATATCCATCAACAAAAATCTACAACGTCTTAGAGTCGGTAATTTTTGAAACGTAAGTCCTTGAATCCTATCAATAAATTTTGCCACAGTAGGGTTAAATTCGATAAGTTATTCGATGCACACATGAACCGACGTTCTTCACTGAACCAACAACTGATATTAGAGCCTAGATAATTCTATTTTTGTGTGCACTTCGAATTAGTTTACGAGAATAAACGTGAAATAATTGTATACTCGCAGCGGATACTAGTATAGAATTTCAAATCTTGAGTTTTTGCAAGAATTCTAAGTCTGACTATTATGGATTGAATGGATTTGTTTTATTTCTATTGTATATTTGCGTTTTGAAAGCCTCGTACATGTCGATAAATTTTTTGATTGTGAATGATTGTAATATTTAAACGCGCGGTGAAACATCGTATAGTTTACTGCTTTACTAGAAATCATTATGTATGGTCCTTGCGTGGACCATAGGTCGACTATATGTGATTGTTCTTATCATATTTATCGACTAATCCGAAAATTGAGGATGAGCCCGGAAGAGCGAGGACACGACCAAACAACCCTGAAGTGAGGTGATCCTAGAACGTGACCTGTGGTTGCCAGCACATGTTGGGTCGAGCGAATGTCGGTGCGTCTGCGAGTAATTTGTTACAGTGCGCAGACGCTGCTAGGAAGAGAGACGGGTCGAACGCGGCTGGGCGACGGGACTATGTACCGTAGTCGTACGAGCACGCACTTCAGCTCGCAGGCTCGAGCATTTAAGCGAGAGACCCGACAGCGTACGATGCGCAGAAGTCCAAGGCAGCGCGACAATGGAGACCTAGGTTTCTGTGTGCACTGTCTTGCGACGATACGTTGTCCGTGCGCAGTAGCTCGTACGCAAGAATTTTGGCTGTAGGGCTGGCAGAGCGCGGTCTCTACACGCGCGTCGGTGCCCCGTGCAAATTTTTTGCGTGCAGCAGGCCAGGACACGGAACGGTGACGCTGTAGCAATTTTCCGACAACAAATTTCCGGCGGTGACGGTGGTTCGGCAAGGATGGTGGCGGCATGAGTCCAGTCGTGGAAGGAAATGGGAGTTCCATAGAAACAAGATTCCAAGTCCAAAAGGAGCTAGAGTTCTAGAAGGACAAGAATTCTAGTTTCTAAATTGGATTGGGATTGAAGGCCATATTAGTTGGACATCTTTCCTAGTTTATTATGCCTCTAATTTTGCATGTCCCTTAATTATTATTTTGCTTCTTGTGCAAGAACAATTAGTTATGGTAGGAGCATGCTTAGGAAAATCTCTTAATTAAATATATACTAAGTGCATGTTTGAACTTAAATAAATTTAAACGACTCAACGAGCAACATAGAATCGAGCACCATGGCAACGATTCTTGGCTAGGCTAACTGTTGTTTCCTATTCTTACAAGCACAGAGGGAGTGTTTCAAGGTTACTGGGTCGTAGAAATTGGGGATAATCGTGATTTTGACATTCTTCGGGTAGAAGCCCACAATTGAGAAGATGTCGAGCCCATATCAATTATAAGGTTGGCTTGAGACTTAACTGTCTATATTGGAGCTTCGGTTCACTAGTGGATCGACGACTCAAATCTGGAGCTTTGACTCATATTGGGGCTAACGCCTATATTGTTGGGAGTCATAAGGAAGATCCTGTTAGCCAAATCAAATCGATTTGTTTCGAAGCTAGACTGTTCTACTTATGCTGGTATTACTATGGGATTTATTCTCAATCCACGGGGATTGAAATTACACTGCTTCATTAATATACAAGAACTTGAAGGTTGAATTGTAAAATCTGTAAAGAGTTCTCCCGAACTGTTTCTAATGAAATTATTAATGTTCTTAGAAATATTTTAAAATAAGCTACATCCCAAACGAATTCTTGTGTCATCTGAGATGATTTTTTAAAGTTAATGCGCCACAAAATGTAAGAAATGTCAATATACTAGAAATTGAAGGATTGAATTGTAAATTTTGGAATGAGTTCTTCCGAACTATTTCTAATGAATATTATTCATGTTCTTAGAAATTTCTTAAATAATCTACAGCGCAATCGAATACATGTGTAATCTGGAATGATTTTTTGAACATTAGTGCACAACATAAAGCACGAAGTGTCAATATACTAGAATTTGAAGGACTGCATTGTAAATTCTGACTAGAGTTCTCTTGGACTGTTTCTAATGAATATTATTCATGTTCTTAGAAATATCTATTACTATATAATACAGTTAAGAAAAAAGATATGAAAAACTTCGAAAAAAATAATTCAGTTTCCCGCTTTTTTAATGTCATCTTCCCGCTCATTTTTTCGTTTTTTTACCATTAAAGGAATGATTTTTTGAAATTTTTTGGATTGTCCCGCCTTAGACAATTATTTGAATTTTAAAAAAGTCAATGTATAAAATATTCTAAGAGAATATATAATGGGATTTAGTTAGTGGAGGATAATTAGGTAAGATATAATTTGAATAAGTCCAATTATTCTCTTTCTTCTTTTTCATACGCAGGTGAAAAAAAAATAAAAATCGTAGGGGGAATCCTTCTTTTCTTTCTCGCTCATACGCAGGTGAAAAAAATAGAAATCTTGGGCGAAAAATGTCGACATTAATCATGGAGAGGGTGTTTGTATGTGGCTGGTGATGAACTCTCGGGCTTCGCTGGCCTGCCATCGCGAGGATGACGATCGACCGGAGATTTTCTGACTTTGTGAAACTCAGACGATGGGTGTTGGCCGGAGATGGCAGGCTGATGTTTTCAGTATGATGACCGGCGACGGGGTTGCTGTTCTAAGGACGGGTTGAAGGTCGATGATGGCCACAAGACGCCAAGGCTGGTCGCACTCCTTCCCGGAGAAGACGACTGGAGATTCTGAGCACCGGTGAAATGGACGAACGCGAGAAAATATTTGTCCTGACGAGTTCAGTTTTTTCGGCCGAAATTATAGAAGTCAATAGTTTTTTTTTTTCTTTTTATTTTTTTCAAAGCGTTTTGTTAAAGAAATCTGGGCACTTGTGGAGTCATAACAGATATGGAATTAAACAGTTCTTCAGTTAAATTTGTTTATTTATTTTTATATTTATTGACATTATTTATTTAATATGCCTCATATTTTTTATGGAATGTGGCTTATTAATTATGTAATGTGTAGTTTAATTAATTTATTATTATTGGTAGCATAGATAATTAAATAGAGTAAATATTTAGAAAATTATGATGCCATAATATGTTTTTGGATTTATTCCAAATCATGACTCCACAATGAAGATAGATTGCTGAAGATAATCTATCCGTAAAAAAAGGAAATGAATTTGTAATTTATTTTGTCAAATTAGGTTTTTGAGTTAATCCTTCTATAACACGTTTGTGCGGACAGAATGTGGAAGATACAACCTCAAATGATTTAAATGAATAATCTTTTTTTATCCAATAATACTTCATCAACACAAACATTAACCGATAAAATAATAATTGGCCACATATTATTACTTAGGTAGATACAACCTCAAATGAATTAAATCATACCGTACCTAAGTTCACTTTAATATATAAATCATTAAAATAATAAATAAAAAAAATTTATACATAACAAATAAATGTTTATCATAGCTTTTATTTTAAAGATAAATTTTAATTATTATACTTTTAGTTTATATGAAATTCAAAATTACATATTTTAATATATTAATAAATGTTTATGATTTATTTTTTCCTTATGTGATATACTCGACATTCGGTATTAAAATTTTAAATTCAAACATTTAAAGAAAAAGATCCTAAACAAAATTTTTTGGTAAATTTTATTTTATTTTGATTTTCATATAATCACATTCCTAACAAACTAATTAATATTATATTTTTGTATCTACATTATCTAACCGATTTTTTAAAGATACAATTAATATAATATCTTAACTAATTAATCATTTATCTAACCTGATTTATCTCTCTAATAAACTTGTCAATTTTTTTGAAATTAAAATGGTATGATTATTCTTATGGAGATAATTGACTTTTAAAAAAAATAAAATCAAAACTGTAAGGTTTAATAATATATATTTTTCATTGTTTGTATTTATTTTATTTTCATAATAGACGAGATGTGAAAAATATAAATAATTATATTTAAAATAAAGCTTAAAAATGTTTAAAATATGAGCTCTTCCGTGCATCGCACGGGATATACACTAGTTTTTAATAAGCTACAGACCAATATACAAGATTTTTAATAAACCCGAAATGAGTTTTTGAAAGTTATTGCGCAACAAGAAATACGAAATGCCAATATACAAGATTTTCAAGGACTAAATTATAATTTATTCAAATAGTTCTCCTAAACTGTTTCTAATGAATATTACTCATGTTCTTGAGAACATTTTAAAAAAATCTGCAGCCCAAACTAATACTTGTGTAATCCGAAATGATTTTTTGAAAGTTATTGCGCAACAAAAAGTACGAAATGCCAATATATAAGACTTTGAAGAGCTAAATTGTAATTCATTCAAATATTTCTCTGTTTCTAATTAATATTATTCATGTTCTTAGGAATATTTTTAATAAGCTACAGCCAAAACAAATACTTGTGTAACCCAGAATGAATTTTTATAAGTTATTACACAATTAAAAAATATGAAATGTCGACATACAATATTTGAATGACTAAATTATTATTTATTGAAATAGTTTCTTATGAATATCATCGATGTGAATGACTACATTTAAAATTGGAAAATTTTTATCCTTCCTACACGTTTCTTACAAAATTAAAACTCGACCACAAACATGAAATTAACTGTGACTTTGCCTAAAAGATAATATTTATCTACATTAATGCATAATGGCAGTTACCAATTAATTCTAACCACTTTCCACGTGAATTTAATCTGCCCGATTCAGTTACCATATCAATTCAACTTTCTCTCTTTTCTTTTGCCCGTGATTTGTTGTCCATTTGCTAAAAATGTTTTTTAATTTTATTCTGAAAAAAGTTAAGCAAATAACCACAAAAAAAATGTTGAGATTGGGGGAAAATTTACCACCATATACGCAACCCGTAATGAGATTGGGGAAAAATATACTGAATATAAACCATACATATAACAGGGAAAACGATACAAACACGATACAATATATACTGCAAAAAAACGTGAAAGGACGATAAACGTGAGATATATTTTGTAATTTTAATGTTCATTCAACTGTACATGATTTTGATTTTACCGGAAATATACTGAAAATATACTGGAAAAAACGAGGACGTGAAATTTTATAAAGAAAGAAAAAAAAAACGATTTTGGACAAACTCTGTCAGTGGAGATGACAATCGCGAGCAGGGAGATGACGGATCGCCCTTCCCCATCCACCTCCGATGCCCCAGGTCACGATCGCCCTTCGTCTCCTTACACCGCCATAGACAAACTCTATCAGTGGAGATGACAGATCTACGAGCAGGGATCCAGAAGTTTAGTTCATAGGTGAGGCCGAGGCCGTCGAGAGTGACGACAACCACGGTGGAGGCGGCGGTGTAGCAGACGACGTCGTATAAGTCGTCATAGCAGACGGAGGCGGGGGCCACCCAGGAGAAGAAGACGAGGTCGGAAGGGTCAGATTTGATGCCTTTTCTGAACTCGAGGATTGATCGGACCTCTTCGCGGGAGGCGTAGGCAGGTAATGAAGGATGAGGAGGAAGAAGGTGAAGGTGAGGGTGATCGACGGACGGTTTTTGCTATCATAATATCTGTTAGAGAGAGAGAGTTGGACACATTTTTCCCTAATTTTAGGAATATCCCAATAACCTTATTTATGTTGAATAATAGAATTATCATATGTTTGCAATTAAAAATATAAGATTTAATAGATTTGCTAAATATTTTTATTATCTCGTAATATTGTAAATAAGTTGTTGTGTAGTGGTGCGAGGCACAATTTCCTCTTTAAAATAAGTTCCCTTAAGAATGAATTAATGTTTCATTCGGGATGACGAATCATAAAACTAAACAATTAAAAATACAATGACGAATCATTCAATCTCAATGATGTATGCACCTTAATTTTTGTACCCAAACTAAACTTCTTGGCTTGTCCTCGAGTTCGGAAGTCATAATGAAACTATTTATTCGTAATAATAGTAAAACAACAAAAGATGGATAGTTCACTATTCTTATATAATATGAGATATTATAAGAAATTTACATACCAAGATAGAGAGATCATACACTTTATCATCTTATTATTATCGAGAACCACGAACAACATGTACTCTTGTTCGTCCTTAATTAAAACTTATCTTTTGGCCATAGTATCTACGTATCAAACACAATACTATTGTATATGGCATTTATTGACAAGTTGTTGCATTGTTAGCAAATACAAAACTTTTTTAAGCATGCATCAACAATTTTATCAAACTCAAACCACACCTTGCACACTGTCAATCGCTCACTGAGAATTTTCATTTCTACCTCACATGTTTTTCTATTTTCAACCTCTCCAAATGAGAGATCCAAAGACAATGAGTTACATAGAGAATGAGTGAGACGAGATCACTCCCTGAAGTGAGAACTCATATTAATTAGTTTCGTTGTTAATTATACACTTAGTTATTTTCGCTGCAACCTACTGCTTCAATTGTACTTAAAGTTTCCCCTCCTAGTTTTGAAATATAAATATTCATTACAAAAATAAAAATCATATGATTCAAATTTTATCGGACTTAGTTTCGTCAGACTAAGTTTGATTTTTGTTTCTTAGGTTTATTTTATTTTCTTCTGTATTAATCTATATCTTAATTATCAACAGATTGTGACATGCTCTAATATAGGTGGCTCTGGTCTTTCGAAAGGTCCTCTCCAGTTTGAACGCAAATTTGCTAGTTCAGTTTGGTCTAAGTCCGTAAGCTCGCTGGTACCTAAAAAAACACTGGAATTACTCCGGTGCAAGACCCTCCGACGCCCAAGTCAGTATCTCGGAGTTCAAGAGTAACTTGCAATAAATATAATAGTCATTATAAGTAAAGGAGTCTTACTTGCCAAGTACGGAATTTACCCTTTATATAGTCATTAATCGTATGGTCTCTCCTTTCGAGGCCATAAGTCCCCGAACATATATCGACCGGACGTGACTTAAGCTAAGCTCGGCCTTATGTCTAATATTCGACCCCCATTGTACTTGTCAGGGGTCAATGCTTGAGCCAGTCGACATAGGGTCGGTGCTCAAGACGGTCGACCCTCGGGCCGTTCGACCCGATAGCCTATTTCACCCCGGTTTTATGGGTATTTATCTAGTTGGACCGAGTCGATACTAATATCCCTATCATCTACCCTCCTATTTACGAGCATACGAAACAAAATTCGTGTAACTGTAAATATCAATGTTCGTGCATCTCGCTATTTTTTATTTGGCACCGCTATCGTGAAATTTTGGGGTATGCTCCAAGCCGACTTGACACTTAGACCGGTCTTCATTTGGTTAGAGAGCCTTTTCTTTTTGAAATGATAGATTCATTAGCTAAAGCACATAATTACATTCGACTGAATAGCCGGAATGGGAGGACTACACTAGGCAGTCTAGAATCCACAACACATGCCACAAGACGAAAGAGAAAAATAAAAAAATCTCCCCACAGGAGAATACACAAACTCCCCACATGAGAATAACATACTCCTCAAAAAGAGAATAAAACAAAACACATCACACAAAACACCCACAAAACACGCACACGACAATAAAACACAAAACAAAGGAACTAGACCCCTTTCCATAACAGCGAAACCCAAACGATCACCAACGACGCCGATACCCACGGGCAGAAACCTGGTCCAAGCCACAAAACCAGAAATGTGTGAGCCTTGGTTTGACTTAATGTGTGAATACCTTTTGACCCATGCCTTTTTCCTTCCCAAAACAATGCCCCTTACCATAGATCTTACCTACTAAGATCCTATGGCTCATATTTACCCAACTTTTCGTTCTAGGTTTTTCCCTTTTCTTCTATAAATAATCTCTCTCTTTCTTCTACAAAAATTTTTTCTACCTCTTTTCCTTAGCATATTCCTCTACCCGACAGCGGCAAAGTAGGATTTTTCGGTCAGCTCTTCCCTTCGGTTGTCTTTCTTATTCAAGCTCGACCACTCCAACCATGGGTATGTATTCTTGAACCCTCCTATTATTTTCGTCTCTTTATTCTACCCTTCGTCATAACCCTTACGTTTCGATTCTTTGGCTCGATGTCTCGATCCTCGGATTCGAGCCAAGGTCTCGACTTCGATAGTTCTTATATCGTTTCCGTCCCCCTCCCCCACCCATGTAGACATACCCTTCGATCCACCTTCTAGGACCGATGCTCTTTGCCTAATTGATGAGGCCGAGGGCGTGTTCACTTGGGACGAGCTTCAACGATTTGGGGGCTCTTTTTAAATGATCCTTTTGACCTTGAGGACATCTTGTCTATCTCCGACATCCACGATTCAGTTTTGGGTTGGGGTGCCACTCCTTTAGCTGGCTCAGGCGAGCCCAACTATTCTTTGCTTGGCTCAGAAGACCGCGCCTCTCCCCCAGCCGATTCGGGTGGCCGTGTCACCCCCTCGGTTGCTTTGAGTGGCCGCGCCTCCCCCTCGGTCAGTTCTGGTGGGCATGACTCCTCCTCTTGCCAATCTTCTGGGTGGTTCTTGTGGAAGTAAGCCTAGCCCATTTTCCCGTATGTCCCCCGGTGAAATCGCAAAGTTTAAGAGGCTTTGTGAGTTTGTAACGCCCCATTTATTTGTGGTTTATTTGAAGTGTTATTATTATTATTATTATTGTTATTATTATTATTATTATTATTATTATTATTATTATTATTATTATTGTGATATATTAATTATTGCTTGTCAATTTGAATGTCTAAATATTATATGTCTATTTGTCAATTAATTGCTAATTGTATATCTTGATTTATAATATTAGTATTTTAAAAATAATGTTCGTATTTAATTTATATTATCCGGAGTTTTGTTTATTTGTCATGCGATCGATTTGAACTGTCGAAATTAGTAATCGGAGAACCCGAGCCCGAGAGCTGGATTTATTTTCGTGTAATTGAAACGGGCCTGAGAGCCGAATTTATTTATCGTGCTATTTAATCGAGCCCGAGAATACCCGCGTGCGAACCGACCCTTTTTTTTTTCCTAACCGTGCGTGTGTGTGTTTTGTCTTGTGGGCCAAGACTTGTAAAACCTAGTCTACAGCCGCCAATCCCTATTCTCTCTCTCGTCAAAACAATCGCACCCGCAGCCTCAATCTCTCTCGCTCTCGACCTCATCAGAGAAGAAATCTCTTCGTCCGCAATCTCTCTTATTTTCTGTGCAAAAATCAGATCGCCGCCCCTGCGCCATCATCTCTCGCGTGATTTTTCCGGCGAATCCAATCGCGCCGCTCTGTTCGTGAGATGTAAACCTCAACGACGCACAGAAGCTCCTCCGGCGACCCCTCTGCTCGCAATTCCGGCAAGTCAGGCCCCTCCGCGAGCCAGTCCACGAACTTCCAATGTCGAGACCTTCTCTGCCCGCGATCTGCTCCGTCGATCTGCTTCCTCCGCGCCGGGACTCAGCATCCGCGCAAGTCAACGCCGTGAACAGCGACCCCGCCCTGCCGCGAGCCCCGTCACGCCACGACGCCAACTGCAGCGTTTTCGACGCGCCTGCTCCTCCGCGAGCTCTACTTCCCGGCGAGTCTCTTCCGCCGACGAGCAGCTGCATCCTCCTCCTCCTCCGACGACCCTGCTGCACCACCTCGAGAAGATTTTCCCGGCAAGCAGCACCTTCTCGCCGTTGCTGCTCTCAACCCTCCGGCGAGCTCTCCTCCTGCAGCTCCCTTTTTGCGGTGAGCCGTAGTCTTCTTCCTCTCCGAACCAGCAGGAGCCCCGACGGGTCACCTCGGCCATCGCAGCAACCCCTCAACCGAGAATCACCGCCGCTGCTCTTTCCTCGACGAGCCGCGCGAAGCCGTCGAGCCCCGTAGTGCCGTTCACTTTCGTTCGAACCTTTCTCGCTCGTTTCCCAAGAACGGTATCGATGGCTTGAACCTTACGTCTTTTCGTTGATATGTGTTGATTGTATATGTGCATTCATATGACGTGTATCTCATGTGTACTTGTGTAATATGATCGTCATTGTTGTGTATGAATAATGTTGAGCCGTGTTTTAATCGATTTATGTGTCGATCTCGTCGGTTCGTGCGAACTCGAAAGAGATCACGTTAAATGTGTTAAGTTGCTGTGGATTTAGGAACTTAGGATTTTTACGAACACAATGGCGTTGACCTTGTGTCGATAGGACGTGTGAATTTGTAGTTATGATTTTTCGAAGATTGAAATTTTAGGTGAAGCTGTTTTTGATGAATGTGTAACTTGTGTAAAAGTTTCGTGATTTCTTATGGTCTGGAGCTAGTTTTAAAAATTATTTTGATTTCTGTTCAGTTTATTGTTAAATGCATAATAAATTGTGTGGTACTCCAATCTGGCTGATTTTCTGGTATGTTATGTCTCAGATATTTCTTTGTGTTGTATAAAAGTTTTAGAATTTTTAGACTAGGATTGATAGGGTTAATAATTAATTTTGTGTTTCTGCCCAAATTTGTTTTAATTGTGGTAAATTGGTCTGAAGCTGAAAAATTCTAAATTTTGGTTGAAGTGCTGATTTTGTGATGTTTAGCATGCTGTAAAAATTTTGGAATTTTTGGAGTTCATTTAGGTTCAGTTTTGATATAAATTCGAAAATTGGCTGAATGTTGTTTTAATTTTATAAATTCAAATACTGAGTGTTGATGGCTGATATTTTTATGTGTTGCTGTTCATATGCTGAAGTATATTGTAGATAAGAATTTCATGGCCTAAATCGTTCATTATCATGTGTTTTCAATTTAAGCTCGTTTTTTATGAAAAACTTGTATGATTTTTATAAAATTATGCATAAGGAGTTTGAAGCTGAAATTGGATGATCTTACTTAGAACTGGGATGTGAAATTTATGTTAAAGTTTCAGAACCTAACTCATTGATTTGATATGCCTTCTAATTCAAGTGTGAATTTGAGAAATTATTTTTTTTCTATGTTGAAATGTGTTAAG